TCCTTTGTTTCTTGTTTTTTTCTTTCTCTTTCTACCTCCCTCTCATCTCTCTTCGCCTTTTCTCTCTCCCGGCGAAAACTCTCTCTCTCCCTGATTTCTCTCTCTCTTCTCTCACAAATCTCTCAATCTCACTTCCCCATCTCTCTAACCCCAACCTCTTTCTTCTCTTCTCTCGTCGGTGGAAACCAAAACCCATCCCGCCGCCGTTCAAGCTCCATTTTTACCGGCGAGAGTTATTGGCCAAAAAGAGGCCAAACCGGCATCTCTATTTCTCTAATCTCTTGGGTTCCCTCATATCTGTCGTTTTATGCCGATTCCGGCCAAAGAGAAGCCGATCCAACCTCCGGTGATTCTCTGCATATTCCGGTGAGCTTCCGGTCATCTCCTCTGGCCACGGTGAGGCCGGAAATCCTCCATTTCGCTCCAAATTCTTCGTTTCAATCTTCTTTTCTCTCTTTTGGATCGGGTATGTTCAATTTTGATATCTTTTATTTTTTTATTATTTTATTTGTTTTTTTATTTATTTATTTTATGTTTTGTTTTTGTTTTATTTTGTCTATTTCATTTTTATTTTTCCTTTGTATATATGTTTGTGAATATAAAAAAATTGGAAAACAAATAAAAATTGAAAAAATAAAAAAAAATGAAAATGAAAAATTTTGTTTTAAAAAAAATGGATCAATAACTTTTGGATTGCATACTTTGATTTTGGTTAAACGGTGATGGGAATAATTTAAAAAATGGAGTTTGGAGTAGCTTAGAAGGAGAACATGCATTCATTGAATTGTGGATTAATGTTGTGGGCGGTGTCCCTTCTTGAATTGTTGAATGAATTTGATTTGAATTCCATATGCTTCTTGAACTGTTGATTAAATGTTGAAATGCATATATGTTTGTGTTTGAAAATTTTGGGAATAACCATTTGTAAGGGGAACCATGCCGGATTTTTGAAAAATTCAATTTAAACTTTGATTATACACTCCAAAAGGCATGTGGTTTATTTGTGAAACTTGAAATGGATTTTGACAAAGAGTTTTGAAGTTAAGGATTTGATTTGAATTGAAAAGAAAGAAAATTTCAACGTTTTTGGAGAATTGTTTTGAAAATCCAAGTTGCTTTGAAATGTGTAGTTCTTGACTTTGGAAATATCATGATTGTGAAATTTTGTTTGTTAATTTTAAAATGCAAATTTGAATGTCAAAATGAACTTATTGTTTCGAGATTTGAAATGAAAGGAAAATCTTCTTGAACTTGAAATATTTTTGTAAATCTTCTTGAAATGGCATTGTAAATTTGAAATGTTGTGAGCATATCTAAGTTTGGGGGTGCGATAAGTGCTCAAATGTAACACATTTTAGCACCTAAGTTAGGGTATTTTAGTCCATTCATCTATCTTACTTTCATGTTTTAGTACTTATTTGTGTTTTTGCCTATTTCAGGTCTATAAGGTTCAAACAGGCTACGAAGAGCCATTTAGCTCATATTTTGAGCTAAGGAGCAAATCTGGAAAGAAGTCAGAAAATTGCACCAGTGACGCTTCGATCAATCGAAGGAAGTCCCGATCGATCGAAGAAGGCTACAATCGATCGAAATCAAGGCGGGGCCAGCTCAGCAATTTGGATAAGGCCAAAAAGATATTTTCATGACACGTCAACTTCTATCGATCGAAGTAAGTGTTCGATCAATCGAAGTCTTCTTCGATCAATCGAAATGACTGCTAACAGTGTGCTGTCTAATTCCCGAGCGCGCCGGACTCTACCTAACTTTTGTAGCTACGAAGTTCCGCCAATCAAATGCAGTATTTTTGGCTTGTTGCCTACTAAAAGAGGTTTCTAATAGATTAATTGAACTAATTTGTAAAAAAGTTCCTCTAGTTGACATTTTACCAATTATAGAAATAGTTTCTCTCTATAGAACTAGGGTTTAGAGAATAAAGCAAGGAGGAAGAAGATGATGCCAACCTTAAAGCTAACCCTTGAGGGTTCTATGGCCACTACAATGAGTGGCTAAATCCTTCTCTTGGGGCTAGAGATAACCCTTTAGGCTTGCTTCCTAAACCTAGCCTTTTGTATATTTTTGGGGATTTTAGTTGTTATTGATGTTTTGACCATGAATAAATATAGATCTTATGAGTTTTACATGATTTCTATATATTAATGCTTTCAATTGATCATTTAATTCTATCCATATGTCTATGTACGCTAGAATGAATGTTCATGTACTTTTCTCTAGATTTAATGAAATTGATGCATGTCTATATGTGTTGATGTTATAAATCTAGTGATGGTCATGGCATGGTGCTTAATTGATTATTCTTGTGATTTATTTGATGGTTTATACTTATTTCTTGATGGATTGTGCCACCTCATTAGTTTAATTAGCTTAATTTTCATGTCATTAGCTTAGTTGTAGCGTAATTGCTTTAATTTCCTAGATAGGTGGACAATCTATTCTTATTTTTTGATGTTCCATACTTATGAGTGCAAAAAGTACATTTTTCTAGATTTTTGTGTGTGCACTAATTGTGATTTAATTGAATGGTTAGTAGTCTCATTTGATAGGTTGTGCTACTCATTAGATTGATTAGATAATCTATGCTTATTTGTCATCCATGTTTAGTTTTCAATTGGTGACACACACACACATTTTACAACATGAATTTCTCCATTAATTTACAATTGCTAGTGTTTGCAGAAGTGAAGCTTAGTGGTGAACTCTAAGCCCCAAGACATTTCTCTCATTTTACTTTCTCTAATTTCTAGATTGTCACTTAATTGCATTGTTTTAATTGAACCATTAGTTTAATTAATCAAACCAAACTCCTCTTTTGATCATTCGACCTACTAATCGAATATTGATTCCGATGTACCGTTCCATTCCCTTGGGACGATCCCTACTCACTCTTGCTACGTTAGTAGTTAGTAGTGGTAATGGCATTTTACAAATTTAAACTTGGCCACATTTCATCACACCTTGCACTTTAGTCCTTGACGCACACCAGGACACAAATACCTATATGGTATATTTTCCAGAGTTCTGAAATAGAAAATCCAAGTTCAAATTGGATTTTGTCAAGTGGGAACCGGTACCTGAATTTGGGACCCGATTCCAGAAGCTGAGATTCTAGAACTCCATTCTGTCCTTTGGGAACCAGTACCATGATTTGGGAGCCGGTTCCAGAAGTCCTGATAACAACAGGTTTTCAGTTTCCTTATTCTGTTTAATTCCTTTTTTATCCAACTTTCCTTCCAAGTCCTATGCAGGAATTTTCCTTTATTTTCAGAAGGAATAGAACTTTGCGAACCTCTATATAAACCATATCATACACATAGGTTTGTTCACGGCTTTTATTCTACAACTTCATTATTTTTAAAAGCTTTAGGAAGATTAGTTTTGCAGAAAATCCAAGAGATTTTTCTGTCATCTTTTTAAAACACATACACATAAACACATAGTGAGTTTAGAGTTGTGGTGTTCAAATCCTGATCATGATCATACAATTGCATCTATATCGATCAGAAAAAAATAGATCTACTTCTACATCGAATTCAGACGATTAAAGAACAGAAGTAAAAGCGATCACACTTTGAAAGGGTTGGAGCATTCGAGGAGCGTTGTCTAATCTACCTGCTATTTTTCTACAAATATCAAGCATAAGCCTGAGGTCAAGTTGCTGTTGGACGGGGAGTCACAAAGCCAGAGGATTGTCAGCAGTTGGTGTTTGGTAAAATGATAGGATGTGAGTCAGAGTCAAAATTCAGTGTACTTTGTTTCAAGCATAGTGGATCGATTTACTTTGGACTACACAGTCTACGAGGTTTTTCCTACGCAAACAGTTAACGTATTTTATCAACTAGGGTTTCCTCGCTAAAAAATCCCAGTGTCATCTCTAACTTTACTTTGATTTATTTTATATTGCATGATATTAATTTGTCAATTGCTAAAATAAAGAAAGTTAGAAAAACACACGATTTGTTTTTAAAATAATCAAAACTTTCTAAATATTCTGCTGCGTACAACTCACAACCGTGGCCGCCTCTCCTTTCGCTGGCCACCATCACTCTTTCAGCCCCTCCGGCGATCCCTCCCAAGGAAGTGGTAATGACTTGTACTCAACCCCTCTCTCTCTCTCTCTCTCAGAATCTGTTTCTATTTTGATTTTCTTAACTGTGTTTTGGTTTTATCTCTTTGTGAATTTGTTACAGCTACGTAGTGATTTTGTTTACTAATTTTTGGTTCATTTCTATTTATGTATGTATATATATAGCTCTTCGGATGACATTGATAGCTTAGTTACACACGCACGTTTTGATTTGGTGATCAAAACGTGGTCGTTTTGCAGCCTCCCCAAGGTTACAATTGTAATACGCACAATAATAATTATTTCTTATCTAAATTTCAGATTATATTATAGGGGTATATTTATCATTTCATACAAATTTAACGGATTTGAATAAAAATAAGGCAATGTGATGACCTTTTATAGTTAAGGAGATATTTAATTTTCATTAAAAAATTTTGGACGAAAATAGTAACACACGGATTATGAGATTTTTCCCCCATTTATTAATTTTCTTCTGTCACCTTTTCCCAAGCTTTCTGATTCCTCGTTTGATTTTGGGTTTGCTTTCTCTATTGGTAAAAGAGCATTGGATTCGACTATATATATATATATATATATATTATACACACACATTGCACACTCAAACACTCTCTCACACACACACACATTTGTATGCATGTATGGAAAGACTATCGAAATGAATATCTCTTTCTTTTGACAGGGGTGCAAGTGTTTGTACTAGATATTCCTCCATACATTCTTCATTCTCTCGTTTCAGTTCCTTCCTTCGTAACTAAGAAACCCATTTCTCTCTCTAGCTACAATTTCTCTCTTTATACATCTTTTTGATGGAATGGAAGGTTTAAAAGGTAGAAAGTAAAAAGGGATTTTGCTATTGTGATTAGATAAAGCATATATATCAAGTTTGAAAATAGTGATGGAGAGGGTTTCTCTGTCTAATAAGGGAAAAGGGCCAAAAGAAGAGTTCGCTGATTTGGTGTTTTCATGGTCTCTTGAAGATATTAACAATGAGGATCTGTACAAAAATCGCGTACCAAATATTACAATTGTTTCAACACATACATCGCGTGTAGATCTTTTTGTTTTCTTTTGCAATCTTCTAACTCAAATAGCATATTTTTTCTAACCCTATGAAAATCGCGTGTAGATCTTTTTGTTTTCTTTTGCAATCTTCCACTAACTGCCTCAATGAGTAAACGGCCTCTATAGTTGACTTCCCCAGCATAAACTCAAATTGGCTTAAAGCCATTTGATATCAAGATCTACCTTATCTTTCTTACTGCAAATACTGGAAGAACTGATGATTTTGCTGTTGTGGCTTGTGCTTACTTAAAGTACTATGTGGGAGCTTGCTTGTACTTATTGATTACATATCTTGTTTCTCGATTATTTCAGAAGTATAGTATCAAAGCACCTACTTTATTGGTTAGGAAGCCATTTGAAAGGCCTCCTATATGCATTATGTATCAATGATTCTTTATCCTTTTGGTTGGATTATCTTTCCTTTATTGAATCTTCTGACAACTATGTTTGACACTACCACTGGAATTTAAATTTCTTTGAATCTGTCTAGGTGGAGAAGATTCCTCTATCATTTAAATCGGAGGATAATTATCTTGGTTCATATGTCTTTCCTTTCCTGGAAGAAACACGAGCAAAACTGGCTTCCAGTATGGAACTTTTATACAAAGCACCTTTTGCAGAAGTGATCTCTTTTAACGAGTGTAAGCTCCGTGGAAAATTACTATACGATGTCAAGGTTGATTACTGGAGAAACAGAACGTTGCCTGGGGATATTTTTGTCATCTCAGATATGAAACTTGAGACTATTTCTGATTTACAACGGGCGGGAAGGACCTGGACTTTTGCTTCATTCACTACCATCACGGAGGATGAGAATGAAGATGATAGCATAACTACTCATTTTAGAATCAAAGCGTCAGAAGACATTGAAGTCAAAGATGGGATGTGGAAGTCCATGTTCGTGGTTTTCTTGATAAATATAACAAGCAGCGAAAGAATATGGAATACGTTGCATATGTCTATAAATACGAAGATTATCAAGAAAATCTTGTGCGCTGATTCCGTGGTAAGAAATATGACTAGATTAATGTTGCATAAACACTAGCATATTCAATTAAATACATGGTGGAAGTGAATAATTAAAAGTCAATGTGGATTACGGAAGTGAATAATGCATGAACATAGTGATGCTAATATCATTTTTGTAATGATTCAACACAATATAACTTCTTTTGAAGGGTTGGAAGAAGGAAGTAGAAAGTAAATAAAATCTCAGGGAAAATATTACTGGTGACTACTTGGGACGCATGATTGACACAATGTATTGGTAATGTCAAAAATGTGTTTTCTTTTCATATAAATATAGTTTGAGAATCATTGTAACTTCATTTCCTTAGGTGTCCTTGTCTATGCACACTTGAATCTTCCTTTTATATAAATGTATATTTGAGTTTCATATTCTCTTTTTGTCTTTTAGTTCTCATATGTTCTATCTCATGTACCTAAATTTCACTTTTTTCCGTTAATTGAAATCATAGTAGAAATTATTTTCTTTTGATGTGTACTTAACATTACGGGATCTTGGTTGATATTTTGATTGTGGCAAACAGGTTGAGGAAACATGTGATCGTTGTTATGAACATAACAATAGCCAATTAGCTGAAAGATTCAGTACAAGACTTTTGTCTAAGCTGAATGAATCTCAAACTGAGGCAATCATGGATTCTCTCCAAAAAATGGGATGTAGCCACAAGACTTCCGTGAAACTTATATGGGGCCCACCTGGAACAGGGAAAACTATGACTGTCAGTACGATGCTGTTTAGCCTCCTAAGACTGAACCACAGGATCCTTACTTGTGCCCCAACAAATGTGGCAATAAAGGAAGTAGCCTCTCCGGTGCTAAAGATGGTTAAAGAATCATTTAAAGCTGACTCTGCAAGGGATTCTTTGTTTTGTTCATTGGGGGATATTTTATTATTTGGGAATGAGGACCAGCTGAAAATTGGATCAGACATTGAGGAGATCTATCTGGAATATCATGTTAAAAGACTTGTAGAGTGCTTAGGACCATTGACCGGTTGGAAGCATTGTTTAAATTCCATGATAGATTTTCTTGAAGATTGTGTTTCTCACTACCATATTTTTGTTGAAAATGAATTGTTCAAGACAAAAAAACTCTGCGAAGAAGGTGAACCTACCGAGGTGGAATTCAAATCATTTCTTGGGTTTGCAAGAGACCGATTCAAATCTACTGCATCACCACTCAGGAGATGCTTATTTAAATTCTATACCAATTTACCAAAGCGTTACATTCTGGAACATAATTTTCAAAACATGGTATCTCTTATTAATTTACTTAATTCATTGGAAATGTTGTTGTTTCAAGCAAATATGGTTTCTGAAGAATTAGAGGAGCTTCTTTCACATCAGGAAACAGTTGAAGACACTTCTGAGGCTCTTGTGGAGACGTCCTTACTGCTGCTGTGCATGAGACAAAGCAAGTGTCTTTGTGTTTTGAGAACTCTTCGGCTTTCTCTTGAGGAACTTAACCTTCCAAGTGTTTTGAACAGAGATTCAATAATGGAATTTTGTTTTCAAACAGCTTCTTTAATTTTCTGCACTACTTCCATTTCATATAAGCTTCATTAGGTGGAAATGCAACCACTGAACTTGCTTGTTATTGTAAGAGGCTCTGATACCAATTTGTAGGAAGCTAGCACTCAATATGAAGAAGGAGAATAGACACAACTTATAAAACTCTCAAATTCTGATATATTTTTTTGTCACTTCTTACTTACAAAAGAACTTAAAACTTATATTTATAGGCACCAATACATGACTCTAGAAAGACACAAATTACAAGACAATAAATAAAACACTAAGTTTAATACAAATGTTTCATCTCCCAATGAGATAGTGCATGTATTCCACACATGAGTTGGTTCATGTATTCAACACTTGAGTTAGTTCATATATTTGGTTTATTTTTCCAACAATGCCTCCCGTAAACCAAATTTGTTTTTCATTCCCAACTTTGCAAGATTCATGTTGAGAAATGTTTCTACTAAGAGGCATTTTGTTTTGTGACAGATTAATCAACTTCCATGTGCCATTCTTTTCAATGGCTTTGATTTCTTCATTCATTGCTTTCTTCCACTTTTCTTCTTTTCGCTTCATAAGGGATTGGATCTTCCCCGCAAACATTATATTGAATCTTGTAGCAATTACAAACATCAAATTTCCAATACTTTCAAATGCAAAAATCTTCTTTGCAATCTCCTTTGTTGTACAAACTTTGTATCTTTTCTTCTTCAGGCTTCTAATATTTTTCTTAACCTTACCTTGAAACTGATTTCCAATGTTGTTCTTGAGATTTACTTGAAAATTTCCACACTTCTTGAATTTACTTTTGACTTGCTCATTTTAATCAAAAAATGCTTCAATGTTCACCCATGTCACATCACTTGAGAAATATTCTATACAAACGTTCTTCAATTTTTCTTCAACTATAACATCATCCAATTGAACATATTCCGTTTCTTCTAAAATTGAATACATTGCTTCATGCGGAATTTCAAACCATTTGTTTTCTTCACCAATATTTGATATTCCAATTTCTTCACCAAATTCAACTCCTATGATTTCTTCTTTTGTGACAACTTCAATGTCTCCAATATCTAATTTTTCTTCTTTCTCATTTTCATCTTTGAATATTTTTTTTTTCATCAACATCAACTTCTTCTCTTCCTTCTTTTTTAAACTCCACTGTCACCATTTTCTCATCTTGCATCTCTTTGTTTTTTTCATCAAATTTTATATTTGTACATTCCACCTTTTCAAAATCTTCTTTTTCTTCTATCTCATCAAAATTTTCTTCATTTTCATCTTCCCAACTTATTTCTTCAAAAAATCCATCTTCATCGTAATTTGGGAACCAATATTCAGTGGATACTGATTTGAATTTATAATGAGATAAAGACATAAATTCAAGTTTTTTCCATACCTGACTTGGAGATTTCAAATTTTCAACATGCTTCCAAACTTCGTGATGAACTACATTTTTCAGTATCTTCAGCACATGTTCTTCTTTCTGCTCTTGAATTTTGTTTAGCTGAAAACACTTTGGATTTTTTATCACATCATACCAAAAACCACATGCTTTAAGATAAACCGAAATGATATTGCTCCAGTATGCATAATTTGAGAGAACTAATTTTTCATTCATTTTTCAGTGTCAAAATCTGCTCCTTTTTAATCTTCTTTGACTTGATTTTTCACGAGCCAGATATTATTTTGCTTCACGCTTCAAAATCCCTCCACCATTCTGACTTTCAAATTCATAGAATCATTCAGGCTCTGATACCAATTTGTAAGAGGCTCTGATACCAATTTGTAGGAAGTTAGCACTCAAGATGAAGAAGGAGAATACACACAACTTATAAAACTCTCAAATTCTGATATATTTTGTAACATTACCAATTTTTTCTATTTTCTAATTTGTTAATTTATTTGATTTTTCTGGATTATTTTAATCCTTGCCTCGTTTTGCGTGCCACGCGGGCCCCGAGGGGCGTTATCAGCATTTCACATGTGTATGTGTATTTATATACATGTATATATTTGTATTAATAGTATTATATGGAGGGTGGTAATTAATGGCAAGGTTGATGATAAAAAGAAGTTCAAAGGGCATTTTCGTCATTTTAGCTCCATGGAATAGCCTAGAGAATTCTAGAGACATGAGTGTGGCTTTATTTTTTGACCTATTCTTTTCTTCTTTCAATTTCCGGACCACACCCACCCTACAAGCTCTCTTCCTCCATTTTCTTCTTTCTCTCTCTATCTCTCTCTTCCTTCTCTCTAAAATTTGTTCATGCTAGAGATGATTCGGTTTAGGCCGTAGTTGGCAAATTGTAGAACATTGTAAGGACTGCATCTTGGTATCGGTATTGTATGCTTTTGGTGGGATTTGAGTTTAGAGCTTGGAGCTAGAGCTTACTAAGGACTTGATTGGTTACTATTTTGAGGTAGGGAAAGTCTAACTTACAAATTCCTATGGTTTTAGTGAGTTTCTATATGCCTCCTTGCATGAAAATTTTAAAGTTATGAAGCATGCTTAGTTTGTTAAAATTTTGGTTGTGATGTTGAGCATGAATTATGATGGCTTAATTGTTGAAGAATGAGAAAATGATGGTTTCTTGTATTTGTGCCAAGCATGCTACTTTTCTATGAGAAAATGTAAAAGTATGATCTATGTTATCAATTTCTATGTTTGGATGTTTGATATCATAACTTAAAGGTAAAATATAACTTGTATAATGATGATTGGTTGTATGACATGCATATTCATGGCATGAGGGTGAGTTGAGAAGAAGAAGGTTAATGTGGAAAAGAGGGTTAGAGAATGAGATGGGGGTTTATGTGGTAAGCCAAGGTGATGGTTAGGAAGGTGGTAGTGAGGTTGGGTTGGGAGGAAAGAAGGAGACATTGCATTTCATATTTGATGGTACAATCTGTGAAATTGTAAATTTCATAAATGTTAAAATGATTTAATCCCATGATCCCTTTTTCTTGAATCCCATTCTTTGGTTGTGGCTCACAGGATTTTTAGGAATGTGATTTAGGCTTTACTCTACTGAGCAGTTGAGCTCACCCCATCAACATTAACATTTTTCAGGGACTTGGAGATGAGTCGATAGTTGATGTGCATCCATGGACATTGATGTAGTTAGGAAATTCACTTCCATCTTGTTTATATTAAAGTTTTGTGAATATTGGCTATAGAGGCCCCAACCTTGTATTTAGTCCTTGGAAATTGTATAAAATGAGACTTATGTAATTTGGTCTTTAAATGATGCATTGGAACTTGTTATGTATCCTACAAAAATGTTGTTATCAATATGTATTATTTTTGCAACATGTAAAATGATTGGATTCATTTTGTATATGGCCCTTAGAGTAATGTAATTAAATTTTATTTACACTAAATCCTTTAGTGGGTTTTCAGTGACATGTTACAATTTATGTTAACAAAGGTTGTTGTTTTTGGATTAAATGTTGAAACATATTTAAATTACACGTGAGTGTAGTGGCGTGGGTGGTTGAATCACCAAATGTTGGTGTATTTGGGTTATCACTGGACAGTGGGAAAAGAAGTGAGAGTTTCCCACAACCAGTCGACGTGTGGCTTCCCATATATTGACCGGCATCTCATAGTGTGGGTCATGGTGGCTCACGTTGCAAACCAGTCAACGTATGGCTTCCCATACGTCGACCGGTATCATGTCCCAAACCAGTCGACGTATGGCTTCCCATACGTCGACCGGTATCCATTGTAACTCATGTTCGAAACCAGTCGACGTATGGCTTCCCATACGTCGACTGGTATCTCGGCAGTGGGTATCACTACTGTTCACGTCCCAAACCAGTCGACGTATAAAGCATATACGTCGACCATTTCATATGTAATTGCTATTTTAAATTCTTAAATTACACTTTGGTACCCAAATGAGGCAACACGTAATTATTTTATGACCTAAATAAATGCAATAATTATGTTTTGATTACCGAAAAGACTATATTGCCCCGAGCCTCTTTTTATCTATTATATGATGCAAGTAAATGACTATTTTACCCTTTGAGTCTCAATTTATTGAATTATGGCAAATTACTATCTTGCCCTTTTTGGACTTTGATATTTAAATTTAGCGTGAAATGACCGTATTACCCTCGGACGTTTTTGGGTCGGGTAAGGAACTGTTTAATAATCCGGATCCATGAGGAGCTGGGTCGTTACAAAATGGTATCAGAGCCTTAGGTTCGAAAACCTAAGGACGACGGGTAGGGTTGACCTAGAAGAGTTAGAGCTGGGCTTGACGGTATTACGTGCTTTCATGGTTATTACTTTTTGGTTCAAAAACATGACTTATTGCTATGTGCTTATGTGCTTAGATGTTGCTATGTTTAGTATATGTCTCCGTATTCATTGCTCATTAAGTTTATTAATTGTTGAATGGAAAAGCATGATCAACTGTTAATGTTAAATGTATATGTGCAGCTACTTATATGATTAAATTTGTCTAAAGCATGCTTGATTTGCTACATGTTTAATTGATAATTGTTATTGTTGATGAAAGAATGCTTAGTTAACTACGTGCTTAATTATTAAGTGTAATTATAATTAAAAGCATGTATATGAGTTTTTATTACATGTAATTGAGCACGATAGATATGATCCTGTTTTGGGAAGTAGTTGTACGTCTAGATTCGTGTTGTGGTCGTTCATCCACTAGGGAGTGGATGTTCACGTGACTAGTTTGTTTTGTTGTTGATGAGTTTGAGGTTTCGGGACAATGTTATATGTTGAGTTGCGGAAAGTTTTGATCCACGTAAGTGAGGGGCTTGATCACTTCTATGTTTCTGAACATTTAGTTCCTATCGAACGAATAGTGTGAGGACCGTAGCTTGTGGATTGAGCTACTTCATGTATTCTTGTTGATCGTTTGGTTGTCATTATAGAACCGTGTTTAAAGACTACGTGAAGTGATAGACCCGGATGAAGTTGGACAGCGAACAGGTGAAGGGCCATCCCAACCAGAAAAGGTTTCGATGGGACAGGACTGAGGAAGAGAGGTGGATGATAATCCATA